CCCCCCCCCCCAAATCAGTCTAATGCTTATCCCTATCTTTATCATTTCTACTTCCCTTCCAACCCCAATCTTAGCAACTAAAATCCCAGTATACAACATATTATCCTCGGTTGACTCTAACAGCTCTTGAGGTCAAAGGGCCACTGTTGTTAACTGGCAAGTATAACATTTGCATAGTGGTAATATCCAGTAGCTGTGGTTGTTCTCACAGTTACTATTGCACTCTGGGATACTGTAGAGACCTACAAGGCAACCTGGGACAGGGGAATTATTTTCTGAACTATGTACTTCAACTCTACTGCACCCAAGTACCATTTGAAGAGTGCAAATGTGTTGACTGAAAGAATATAGCTCACAAAATCCCAAGCAGTGAAACAACCCCAGATGCATAAATCTCAAGACAGTAACATAAGAAACACAAAAACCAAGGCAATATATCTTTCTTACCAAATTACTAATCATATAGTAATGGCATCTAGCAAGAGTGAGTTAGATAAAATTCCAGGCAGATAATTAAAAAGAATGTTTTTTTTTTTTTTTTTTTTTTTTAAAGTATGTTTAAAGAGGTGAAAGAAGAAAGTAAGATCCTGATTGGGAACACAGGAAAACAACAGAAGAAGAAAGGGGAGCAGTGCAAGATAGGAAAGGAGGATTTGTTTTTAAAGAGACAGAAATATTGGAGGAAAAAACAATCTGAAATGCTGTAAATGAAAACCATTGTAAGTCAATAAACAAGTCTGTGAAATAGAATAGAAATGAGTAAATAAACTATCTGAGCTTGAAGACAAAGTGGCTGACCTGGAGCAATCAGACACAAAGATGAAGCAATGAGGAGGTACCAGTTGCCTCCCAAACTGATCAAGCCAATCAACTGTCTCACCTATTCAGAGGGCCTGATCCAGCTGGGGGCCCCTCAGCCTTTGGTTCATAGTTCATGTGTTTCCATTCATTTGGCTATTTTTTTTCAATAATTGAGTAAAACTGAAATTTATTATAAGCCACAGTCGTCCTAGGGACCTCCATGCTATATATATATATAGGGTGGCGCACACCTTTAATCCCAGCACTTGGGAGGCAGAGCCAGGCGGATCTCTGTGAGTTTGAGGCCAGCCTGGGCTACCAAGTGAGTTCCAGGAAAGGAGCAAAGCTACACAGAGAAACCCTGTCTCAAAAAACAAAACAAAAGAACAACAAAAAAGTTAAACAAAAAAAAAATGTTGTATGCCACATTTTACTTACTCTTGTGTCTGTTTATAGACATTTGGTATGATTCTACCTTTTGATGATTTTGATAAGTGGTGATGCAAACATTGGTATACACAATTTTAAGTATGCTTTTTAATTCTTTGAGCATAGTGAATAAAGATATTGTAGACAATAGGGTAATTATGTGTTTTAACTTTTTGAAGGATTGCCAAATTGTAGTCTATAGTAGTTGTACAATTTTATCTTCATAACAGTGACATACAAGGGTTCCAATTTCTTACTATCTTCAATACCACTTGTTATTTTTTGCTGTTAGAGATTATATAGATATCCTAGTGGGTGTGAGCTAGTATCTTATAGTAGTTTTGGCTTACATTTCTCTAATAACCATTTTTCTAGTGATGTTGAGGGTATTTTTATATGTGTATTGAGTATTTATAGGTCTTAGAGGAAATATCTAGAAATACCTGGTTGCATTTGCTTATTATATTTATTTATTTTTTCATTGTTATTTTTTTCCCTTCCTCCCTCCTAACCTTCATTTCTTCCTTTTTTGAGGCAAGGTCTCCTTATGTAGTAGACTCTGCTGTCCTGGAATTCCCTATGTAGTGGTTAGCCTCAGACTCCTTGGTCCACATGCACTTCTGCCTCTGCCTCTCAGGTGCTGGGATTAAAGGCATAGTCCACTGTTCCAGCTTTTGCTGAATTTTAAGAGTTCCTTATGTATTCTGGACACGTGACATTATCAGACATGATATGCACTCCGTTTTTGCTTAGCAGCATACTCAGGCCTTGATTATTCATGTCAGGTGAGGGTTCTTTATTAATGAGTTCATACCCTTGAATAATGTTCTTTATATGGTTGTTTTAAAATTTTAGCATAAAAATTATTTGTGTGTGTGTGTGTGTGTGTTAGAGGTTATCTTGGAGTGGACTCTGTGTGTGTGTGTGTGTGTGTGTGTGTGTGTTTTGAGGTTATCTTGGAGTGGACCCTGTCCTTCCACCATATGAGTCTTAATAGAACTGAGGTCAACAGGCCTGCTGTGCCATCCCTCCTTCCCTTATTCCCTCTTTCCTTTTTTTGTAAGTCTTGGCTTTTGAGTAGTTTATACAGTGTCTGTACATTGCATTTATTTTGCTTGTTAAAAACTATGTTTTGGTCTGATATGATCGTGAATGTTTATAATCTCAACATTAGGAAAGCTGAGGCAAGAGAATCAGAAATGAGAGGCCTGCCTGTGCTACAAAGTAAGACTGTATTTCAATAAAACAAATAAAACACAAACAGTATAATAAAATCCACTTATTTGTTGTAATTGTAGCATTTGCTTATTAGTAAACTGGGCCCACTTTTTTTTTGCTAGTTATTAAAATAATGACTTTTATACAGGGGAGTTTATTCACATAGTGGTCAAACATGGGAGATTGAAGTCTCATTTAGCTCTCTGAGTGAGGACAGCTTTTAAGGGTGTTTATGGGATCAAGGTACTCTGGGTGATTTGAGATGTAGATAAAGGTGATTGGAAATAAAGTAGTGGTTCTCTTTAGGACCAAGTATAGAAAATGGGGATTTTTCTTTCTTATGTCAAAAATCAACAATCATCAGGCAACTTTGTAGCCAAAGTGAAAGGTCAGTGGCATTAATTGACTTAAGCTACCTTCAAGTTGCTAAAAAATTGATGAGGTAGCTGTTACCATCCTGACTAGTATGTCAGAGGTAGTATGTATAGCAAAGCTAATGAGACTGTATTGCTTAGCTAGGTGACCTTAATATTGGCTGTAAAAAGCAAGTGACCAAAAGAGGGATTAATCAAGTTTTTCTTTTAGTTTCATGACCCTTAAAATATCTTGTCATGTGGAGTTCTTGTGTTACTTCTTACATACATCCCTTTTTAAATTTTTTGTTTGGTTGTTTTTTTTGAGATAGGATTTCTCTCTCTGTCCCTGGCTGTCCTGGAATTCTCTCTGTAGACTAGGCTGGATTTGAACTCAAAGATCCACCTGTCTCTGCCCCCCAGTGCAGGGATCAAAGGTGTATACCATCACTGCCCAGCTACTCTTATAATATTGTTTTGAGTGTTCTGAATATTGTCAGTTGATTATATTTAAAATTCTTTTTGGGGACGTGGGTAAGACTATATCACAGAACTGGAGAGATGTCTTAGTGATTAAGAGTACTTGCTGCACTTCCAGAGATCCCCAGGTTTTATTCCCAGCACCTAATCTGCACAATTCCAGTCCCAAGGTATCCAGTGCCCTCATTTGGCCTTCTTGAGCACCGGTACATGTGTAATGCACAGATATACGTGCAGCCCCCTGTGTGTGTTTGTGTGTGTCTCCTGGCATTATAGATTGCAGCATGCAAGTCACACAGTTTTATGTTAGAAATCTGATTGTCATTAAAAATAAGCTTTATTGAGGTAAACTTTTTAAAAAATTTGCCCTGGTTTTAAGGGTATAGTTTGACTTTTTCCATAGTTTAGAAATTGCTGTTACTTCAATTTCTCAAACAATTCTTGCTTCTTCTTTTTTTTTTTTTTAAAGATTTATTTATTTATTTTGTACACAGT